CCCCCCCCCCCCCCCCCGCCCCCCGGTCGGCCCGCAGCTCAGCCCGGAGCCTCTGCAGGTCGTCGATGATTAGCTCCCGGCCGAGCCCACCCCCCAAGCCGCCGCCACGTCCCCGCAGAGCGCGCGCCGCCCCGCCCCCCCCCCCCGCCGGGGACACCTGTACCGGGCCGGGGGCTGCCGCCGCTCCTCGGCGGGGGCGCGACCAGGGCGCCCCCCGGGACTGCACCGCGGCGCTGCGCTCCGGGGCGGCTGCGGGCCGGCGCGCCGAGGGGGCGCTGCTGAGGGCGCGGCGCGGGACGCCCCGAAGGGCACTGCCGAGGGGCGCGGGCGCTGCCGGAAGCTGGGGCGGGGCGCCGCGCGGGATGCGCTGAAGGGCGAGCGGCGCGGTGGCGGCGATGAGTGCCTCTGCGGCCACCGGGGTCTTCGTGCTGTCCCTCTCGGCCATCCCCGTCACTTATGTCTTCAACCACCTGGCGGCCCAGCACGAGTGAGTGGGCGCGTGCGGCGGGGGTCGGCGGCGGGGGTCGGCCAAGTGGCCTCCGCGCCGCACGAGCCCCCGGCAACTTTTCCGAGGGGGCTCGCGCCGCCAACTGCAGGGCGGGGGCCGGAGGGTCTCCGGGGACTCCCCGCGCCGGGCCGGGGGAGGGGGAGGCGCGCGGGCGTGGCGGGGGGCGCTGGGCCCGGGCGGGCGTCCCGGCCCTTCGGTGCGGTTCTGGAGCCAAGTGTGGGGCGCGCGCGCCATGCCGGCCCCGCGCCGGGTGTCCGGGGTGACGGAGGTCAACGAGGCAATGCCCCTGCCCTTGACCAGCTCAGGGGCAGGGGTGTGGGGGCGCAGGCACCACCAACGACGAGCGTGGCCGTGTTCTCTCGGGTCGTGCCGTGTTCGTTTCGCATTTCACAGGGACGTTTCCATGTATGGACACACACATACTTCTCATTTCTTATTAATTTTAGAAACTGTTGTGAATGACTAGCAGAAATAGCCCCGAGCCGACAGGGTTCTAGGCGTGCCTTTGGCACTACCCGTGTGGCCCGGTCTCAGTTTTCTAGTCTGTCAAATGGCCTATATTTGTATCCTATTGTGGCGCCGACGGGGGTAGGACCCCGCAGGGGAGGGAGGCCGAGCAGTTCAATGCCAAGGAAATGGGTGGGGCCGACAGAGGCCGCAGATGGGTTTGGTTCAAAGCCCCGCCTCAGTCTTGTGCTAGGACACCCTGCGCCGGGCAGCTACGCGCCTGCCCGGCCGGTGGGACAGGTGCCAGGCCTCCGTGCCTGCTGGTGTTCCCTGTTGTCCGTGGGGACGAGGAAGTTAACCTATTAGGTTTCCCACAGCAGTTGGTGCTGAGGAAATTGCATCATTCTGCACAGGGCAAACCCCCTCCAGACCTTCGGGCTGAGGGTAAGTGTCTGCCTCCAGGGTGGTGACTTCCTTCTCCCTTTCTCTCTGTCTCTCTGCTGGGGGGCCACCACTTGCTGACAGCCTTATCCAGATGTCCTCCATCCCTACGGAGCGCTCCCTGGGCACTGGCAGTGATGCCCTTGGTCTGACCCAGTCTCGGGGTGCATCTCCTGGAAGCAGCAGCTCTGGGCAGCAAATGTCACATGTCTGTGAACACAGTGCTCAGGAGACCCTGCATTCCTGCAGTGGCATCATGCGCAGTTCAACAAATATTTACTGAGTACATATTCTGTGCTTGACACTGTTCCAAAGGTTGGGGATATAGCTATGGACAAGCCAGGAAAGGTTGGGGAAGGGAGTGTTGAGACAGACATCAATAAAAATAAATGGGGTGATATGAGTGACGGGGAAGGGGACTGGTGGTCAGGGGAGGCTTCTTGGAGGAGGTGACTTGTGCAGGAGGTGGCCACAGGAAGAGGTGGGGACAGAGCCTTCCACGTAGGGGAACGGGGAGCAGTGGGAGCAGAGGGGTGTGGTGGCGGGGCGCAGGGGTATTTGGGAGGGAGAGCAGTGCAGCTTACTGAAGGTCTGCATGTCCTGGAGAGGGTTTGAGGATGACTCTGAGATTTTGGCCTCAGCCCCAGGCAGGATGGTGATAGCATTTACTGAGCACACACTGAATTATGTATTGCCGTCTATTATTGAGCACAGTGCTAAGCCCTGCAGAGCTTTGAATAATTGGTTCCAGTTATTCTTCCCATCCCCCTGCAGGTTAAAATCCACACTGGCCCCAGGGCTGGGCTAACATCTGTTTCCTCCCTGCAGTTCCCCACCCCCGGCCCTGGCAGAGCCTCCCCCAGGAGCTTCCCTGCCCCAGTCCTTGGATGCTTCTTAACGTCCTGCCTCCTTGCCCTGGCTCACATGGTTCCTTCTGACCAGGAGGCCTTCCTCTCTGAGCCCACTGTTGAAGCCATACCTGACTTGATGGCCTGGGCCTCTTCGTTTTCCAAACCCTCCCTCCAAGCTCCCGTGATCGCTCCATCCACCTAGTCCCCTGGGATCACACTTCTGCCACAAGAGTTAATTTCCTGTGGTCAGAACTCACCTTCCCCGCAGCTCCCCATGGCATTGTCTGGCCCAGCACAGGGCCTTGTGCGTAGCGGGCCTTCAGTTAGGTTTGAATCAGTTGGATTAGTTGAAGCTTCCTTCCCACCAGGCCTTTTACAAAAGCCTGAAAACCAGAAAAAGCAAGGCAGGTTATGGAGTCAGGGAAGAGTTGGGATCTCTCAGTCTCATCCTCTCTCTCTCTCTCTCTCTCTCTCTCTCTCTCTCACACACACATACCCTTTCTCTACGCATGCTCACCCATACACATCCCCTTTGAATAGGTGTCCCCTTCATGGAAGGGCATCAGTAACCCCCCCATTCCAAGACTAGCAACATTTTCACCCTTGGGTGTGTCTCAGCCCTTACCCCCTCTCCCCCCCCCAAGTCCCTGCTGGATCCTTCTCTCCCTGTTCTGAGCAGGTTCTGCACTTGGTGGTCACTGGGATACACACAGGATCTGCTGCCCCAGTTTCTCTCCGTTCTTTGCTCCTCCCCCAGGTGGCGAGTGTGAGAGCACACAGGTGAACCGGTTTACGCTGCTCTCATACTCCAGACGAGCACCAGCTGCGTGATATGCCGGCCGTAAGCATAGGCCCTTGTAGGAGCAGGGATGGGGGTTACTTCCTGGCTACCACCTGCCTCGGGATGTGATTAAAATGCTTGTCAGCTTACGTAGCACACCTGAACTCTTCCTTTTTCATGGAAGTTTCAGTCCAGTATCATGTTCCTGACCCACATCAGCTTCCTCTTCCATCCTCTGCTCCTTTGGCTTATCCCTACAGGAGGAGCCACTGATGTGCAACACTAGAAATTTCCTATTTCAGCGTCTTACCTGGACATTGACACAGTCATCCTCATTCTTATCATAGAAGTGTGTAATCCATCCATCCATCCACCATCTGTCATCCAACCATCATTCACTATCCATCATCCATTCATTCATTATCCACCATCATCCTTCCATCCACCATCCATCCATTCATTCACTGTCCACCATTCATCATCTATCCATTCATCTATCCATCCATCCATCTATTCATTTGCCATCCACCATCCATCATCTATCCATTCATCCATCCATTCATCCACCGTCCATCCATCTGTCCATCCACCACCCATCATCCATCTATACACCATCCATCTGTCCATCCATCCACCCATCCATTCAGTCACCATCCACCATCCATGGTCCATCATCTGTCCATTCA